TCGGTTTATATCACAATACCTACATTTAGAGTCGGTTATTCATTCAGCCTAATGAGAAACTGTAGAACCGACTCGGTTTATATCACAATACCTACATTTAGAGTCAGTTATTCATTCAGCCTAATGAGAAACTGTAGAACAGACTGAGTTTATATCACAATACCTACATTTAGAGTCAGTTATTCATTCAGCCTAATGAGAAACTGTAGAACAGACTCGGTTTATATCACAATACCTACATTTAGAGTCAGTTATTCATTCAGCCTAATGAGAAACTGTAGAACAGACTCAGTTTATATCACAATACCTACAGTTAGAACATGATTACAATGGTACAACAGTGGTTTTAAGGTCTGATTGTGAACCTTAAATAAGTTTTTCCAGGTGAAAAGTTCGTATTTGTACCTTTTCATAACCGAATGTTTTAAAACAGAACAGTACAATAAAAGCCTGGAGATGAGACGGGGTGTGTGGAGTCAGTACAGCTTAGAGAATATCATTTCAATGGATTAGGTACTGAGATGTACCCTTAAGGGTCCCACCCCAGTGACAAGAGGGGCACCAACCCAGAGACAGTTTACTACCTTTATTTCTGAGAGTGTGAGAGTGAAGGTCTGAATACTTCATTGTTTTTTAAATGAGTTTTTCTTTTAATATGGGTTCAGTTTAATTTGGCCAAATTGTCCATAAATATTAGCCCACAGTGACCGGCCCAAAACGTTACCACCCAGATTTTCTCCTGATTATCCACTCAGGCATTGCTGGAAACTCAATGATATGCAGTAACTCTATAGAGAGTGGGTTATGAGTTTACATTACATTCATTGAGATTTTTGCCAATGTTCTTCAAAGCTTGCCAACAGTTGCTATGAGCTATGAGCATGGATAGGTCAATTGAAATGAATTTCACAAGTTGGCCACACTGTTCTGGTTCTCTGCGGGATCCGTTAGGGTTCTTTCAAAGATTTCAAACAAAAGATCTGGGTTGAATTCGAGTTTAGCACTGAAATTATTTTAATTAGAGGAGCTCGGGCGTCCCGTCCCCCAGAGCAGCCCCAGCTGTCCCATTGCAGGTCCTGCACTCCAACCGCAGGCCCTTTTGTAGCAGCAGTAGGTGCCTGATTAGGTCCACACTTCAATAACAGGGCCTATTGTTGCCTGAGGAAAATACTAAGACCTAATTACTGCCTATTTATGTCCGTTTGCAGCGGGGTGCGGGCCGCACAGCTTCGGGCTCCGTACACAGTCCAGTTCGTTTACAGCAAGAGTGACGTTTGAGCCCATGACCGGATGAAGACCTTTCAGCATGAGTCTGAGAGCAGATAAAGTATTTTTTGTGTACTAAATAAATTTCAAACCTACCTTTTTTTAAGTAAAGTCGTTGTTTTAGTTGTTTTAGTTGTTTTCAAACAACTAAATGCGTATCTAATATCAAACAATTTATATGAGAAGTTTCAGTCAGGTTTTCGTTCTAACCATAGTACAGAGACAGCATTGATTCACGTTATGAATGACCTCAGGCTCAGCGCTCATGCACAAAATCCTTCTATTCTGGTTTTATTAGATCTTAGTGCAGCTTTTGATACTGTTGACCACAAGATTTTAATCCATCTTGAATGCTGGGTCGGCCTCTCGGGCACAGTTTTAGAATGGTTTATATCATATTTAAGTAATAGGCAGTTCATGGTTTCACTTGGAAATCATTCATCAAAAAGATTTGCCATTTCTTGTGGAGTCCCTCAAGGTTCAGTCTTAGGGCCTTTGCTTTTCTCTTTGTACCTGCTACCTCCAGGTGATGTCATTAGGAAGCATAATATATATTTTCATAGCTGTGCTGATGACACCCAGATCAAGACTCTGTAGACAGAGTGACCAGCTGTGTGTCAGTGGATGTCGCAAAATTTTCTACAATTAAATCAAGAAAAAACTGAAATATTGATCGTTGCTACAGAAACTCAGAGAAAACTGCTTTATGAGAAACTTGCTGTTTTATCTGCATGTAAACACGGTCACTAAAATAGCTTTTTTCATTTGAGAAATATTGCTAAAGTTTGGTCTTTTCTGTCTCAGAGTGACGCAGAGAAACTTTTTAACAAGCAGAGTCGATCACTGTGCTGATCTTCTTACTGGACTTCCTAAGAAAACAATACATCCTTTACAACTCGTACAAAATGCAGCAGCAGAGAGATCAGATCACTCCCGCTTTAAAAGAACTGCACTGTCTGTATCGTTCAGGATAGATTTTAAAGCTCTGCTACTAGTTTTTAAAGCTCTAAATGACCTTAAAGCTCCGCTTACATCACAGAGTGTCTGTCTGTTTATGTTCCAGCACGTAATCTAAGATCTGCAGATACTGACCTTCTACAAACACCTTCTGTAAAATACAGAAAACGTGGAGAGTTTCTTTCAGTTACTCTGCTTCTAAACTGTGGAGCTCAGTTCACCTTTTATTAGACAGTCAAACTCAGAGCTCACTTTTAAGAAGCATCTCTTTAACTCAGCATTTAATTAAGACTCTATGTTTCGTGGTATTTATCTTAATTTTATCTGTTTCATTTTCTTCTGATACTAAATAAATACTCAATAAATGATTTCTTGTATAACAGTTTTATCACCTGTCTGTAAAGCACTTTGAGCTGCCACTGGCATGAGAAGTGCTATATAAATAAAAAATATTATATTATTATTATTATTCTTTTTATTCAAAATGAATGCATAAATAAATCAGCATCAGTGAATCAATGAATCAATGATGTGGTGGTGGTGTGTTAGTGCGTGTTGTGCTGGTGCGAGTGGATCAGACTCAGCAGTGCTGCTGGAGTTTTTGAACACTGTGTCCACTCACTGTCCACTCTATTAGACACTCCTACCTTGTCAGTCCACCTTGCAGATGTAAAGTCAGAGACGATAGCTCATCTGCTGCTGCACAGTTTGTGTTGGTCATCCTCTAGTTCTTCATCAGTGGTCACAGGACGCTGCCCACAGGACGCTGTTGGCTGGATATGTTTGGTTGGTGGACTATTCTCAGTCCAGCAGTGACACTTTATTAGACAGTCAAACTCAGAGCTCACTTTTAAGAAGCATCTCCTTAACTCAGCATTTAATTAAGACTCTACGACTCGTGGTATTTTTCTTAATTTTCTCTGTTTCATTTTCTTCTGATTCTAAATAAATACTCAATAAATGATTTCTTGTATAACTATGTTTTATCACCTGTCTGTAAAGCACTTTGAGCTGCCACTGGCATGAAAAGTGCTATATAAATAAAAAATATATGATTATTATTATTATTATTCAAAATGAATGCATAAATAAATCAGCATCAGTGAATCAATGAATCAAGCAGTCCTCCCAAATAATCTGTTCTAAGAGCTAAGTAGTAGCTCGTTGCTTTTACTCACTCATATTTGATCTTTATTTTTAATAGTATTGATTCTTTTGCTTCTACTCAAGTTTAATCATGAGGAATCTACTTTTTTGTTGTTGACCTTAAGCTCCTGATTAGTTTTGTCCGATTCAATTTAATTTAATTCTGATCTAAACTGCTTTACTGTTGATTTGTAGTAAGAAGCTCCACTGCAGCTCTACAGGAAACTCAGCCCTCCAGAGGCCAGAGCCCAAGACTAGACATGCTGAGTTTCCTGTAGAGCTGCATTGGAGCTTCTTACTACATCCAGCATCTACCGGCATAGAAACTGCAGTTTGTTTGGCTCTGTTCTTCTCTTTTTGGATCCTTTTGGTCTAAAATAAATTGCTAAAGCTCCAAAATGAGAGTAGTGATCTACCGTAAAGCAATTTAGAACAAAAGGATTAAATTAAATCGAACAAAACTAATCAGGAGCTTAAAGTCAATGACAAAAAAGTAGATTCCTCACAATTAAACTTGAGTAGAAGCAAAAGGATCAATACTGTTTTCACACTAGAGCTTTTTTTCCAGACCCAGGACTGGGTTGTTGTTTCTTTTAGTTTTTGCTGTTGCCCTTTACATTGTATGTAATTTCATGATGAGTGGACCAAAATAAATGACCCAAAGTTACAGGGAAAAAAAGTCTGGTTCCATTGACTTACATTAAAAGTAAGGTATGTATTTTCCTTCTCCTGTAAAGTTACCATTTTGGAGATATGAGGTTTTGTATATATACATATATACATACACTTTTCAGGCATAAAATTATGACCACCTCCTTGTTTCTACGCTCATTGTCCATTTTATCAGCTCCACTTACTGTATAGGTGCACTTTGTAGTTCTACAGTTACAGACTGTAGTCCATCTGTTTCTCTGATACTTTGTTAGCCCCCTTTTACCCTGTTCTTCAGTGGTCAGGACCCCCATGGACCCTCACAGAGCAGGTACTATTTGGGTGGTGGATCATTCTCAGCACTGCAGTAACACTGATGTGGTGGTGGTGTGATAGTGTGTGTTGTGCTGGTGTGAGTGGATCAGACACAGCAGTGCCGCTGGAGATATTAAACACTGTGTCCACTCACTGTCCACTCTATTAGACACTCCTACCTTGTTAGTCCACCTTGTAGATGTAAAGTCAGAGACGATAGCTCATCTGCTGCTGCACAGTTTGTGTTGGTCATCCTCTAGTCCTTCATCAGTGGTCACAGGACGCTGCCCACAGGACGCTGTTGGCTGGATATGTTTGGTTGGTGGACTATTCTCAGTCCAGCAGTGACACTGAGGTGTTTAAAAACTCCAGCAGCACTGCTGTGTCTGATCCACTTGTACCAGCACAACACACACTAACACACCACCACCGCGGTCCATGCTGGTCCTGACCACTGAAGAACAGGGTAACAAAGTATCAGAGAAACAGATGGACTACAGTCTGTAACTGTAGAACTACAAAGTGCACCTGTATAGTAAGCGCAGCATAACAAACTGCCAGAGCCTCATCCAGTGAGCCGCCGCTCATCCACCCACAGGCTCGAGTCTCCGCGAGCCGTTTCCAACGCAGCCGTTTCCATAGCAACGTTAGTACACAACCTGACAACAAGTGCCTCTGGACGGCCGGCGTTAAGAGTAAGTAACCGCTGAGCGCTTTAAACTCGAATATACTTCAAAATAAAGACTTTATTCAGTCTGGTTGGAGCTGCGAGGCCGTAATGATGCCTTAATCTGTATTTTGAGACTCTTTAGAGCTGTTTGTGTGACAGATATCAGAGAGTAGCGTAGGTGTTAGCTAAAGTTAGCTTAGCACAGGACCTCCTATCAGCGCTTTAATTCAGCATATTATCTCTATCTGTTACTGCTGCTGTCAGGCTTAACGGCTTAGGTTTCATGGGTTCATTTTTATGAAATTAATCCTTTTTTGCCCAAAACTAAGTGCCTAAATTGGAGCTTCACTCCTCTTTTCATTGGCTCTGTGCCTGTACTCTGCACAAGGACAATAAAGTTGAATCTAATCTAATCTAATCTAATCTAATCTAATCTAATCTTTTGCTAAAGTTACTGTTGGGTTGCTTCAGTTGGAGGTCTTCAGTTTAGGGTTGAGAGACATTCATGCGCTGATGATATACAGTTCTCTGCCAAAGTGTCCCCCATCTGTGTTTTTCCTGTTTTATTACATTACAATCTGAAATTAAAATAGATTTTTTGGGGGGGTTTGTAACATTACCATTTGATTTGTCGACCAGTTTGAAGGTGTTAATGTTTTTTGTGACAGAAACATACATACATATACATCCATCATCTAAACCACTTATCCTTCTGGGTCGCGGTGGGGTGCTGGAGCCTATCCCAGCTGTCATTGGGCGGAAGGCAGGATACACCCTGGACAGGTCGCCAGTCCATCGCAGGGCAGAAAGACAGACATACACAATCCACCTAGGGGCAATTTTAGCATGACCAATTAGCTTAACTGCATGTTTTTGGACTGTGGGAGGAAACCGGAGAACCCGGAGGAAACCCACGCAGACAAACTCCACACAGAAATGACCCTGGTCACCCGTCCGGGAATCGAACCCAGGCCATTCTTGCTGTGAGGCAACAGCGCTGCCCACTGCGCCACTGCGCCACCGTGCCGCCCTGTGACAAACAATAATTTGAAAAAAAAAAAAAACTGAAATCTTTAGCCTAAGTATTCAACTTGAATTTCCGTTTTAACGCAAACGCAAATAAGACTGACCTCACTGAAATACCACAGACAAACCAGCAAGCTATGTCCAGTGTGGTAGTTAACGTTAACTCACTTTGGTGGTTTCAGGCTGCAGTTTGAGTAGTTGGGGTTGGTGTATAACACAGTTTACTATTAGACTCACTTATATGCTTTTATTACTGCACACAGCAGTGTTCACTTGTTTGTAGCAAGTTAGTAGATTGATTTGTATTTCCACTGCTAAACCACCTCATAAGTCAGAGGAGTGACTCTGGGTGGGCGGGGAGAGATGTATTGGGTTTAGAGCAGTGGTGATTCGCCCCCACCAATCACTGAGCGAAAATGCTCTATGATTTCAGATTCATGTTGACTTTAAAGTTGAATTCACTAATTTGAAGGGCTGTCTGGATACTTTTGGACATTGGACAGTGTTAAGGTTGCTAGCGGTAAGGCAAGGCAAGCCATTTCAAACACTGCTGTCATTCAAAGTGCTTTACAAATGAGAAAATACAGAGTCAGAGTTGTTTAAAAAAAGTAAAGTAAACGCAAATAGAAAAACATAATTAATACCAACATTAAAAACATAATTAAAACAATAAATTTAGATAAAATCATTAAATAATCAGAGTAAAAACTGAAAGTTAGATTAGGATTGAAAAAAAGTGCCGTTACAGAGGAGAAGGGGCTAAAAATGCTAACAGTGTTTAAACTGAGCTGAAAGCTGCTCAAACAGGAACGTTTTCAGGCTGATTTAAAGTGTCCAGTGTTGGGGCTCTTCTAATGCTCTCTGTCCACTGGGTCCATTTAAGAGCAGCATAGTAGCTAAACGCTGTTTCTCCATGTTCAGCAGGGCTAACTGACCAGTTCCTAATGATCTGAGAGTTCTGCTCGGCTCATTTCGCTGCGGCCGAGCAGAACTCTCGGATCCTGCACCATTAAGACATTTATAGAGCAGTAACAGCTCCTTAAAGTCTATTCTGGAACAGACTGGTAGCCAGTGTAAGGATTTAAGAATGGGGGGGGGGGTTCCCTTCTTTTACTCCTGGTGAGACTCTGGCAGCTGCGTTCTGAATCAGCTGAACCTGTTTAGTAGTCTGTTTGGGTGTCCAGTTAGGAGACCATTACAGTGATCAATCCTGCTGGAAATAAAGGTGTGGATGAGGTTCTCAAGCTCTGCTTTAGTCAGATCCATCAGTGCACCAAGGTTACGTGCTAGTTCTTTAGATTTTAGGGCTCTTGAATCCAGTATTCAGAATAATAAAAATATCCCATGCTAAACTGTATCGCTGGCGAACTTCTTTCGTGCACTTTTGGACAATTCCAGACTGGCCACGTCTTCTAAAACCATAGCAAGGTGTTGATAATTTATGATTAAAATGCTCATGTGAGTGTGATAAAAGTTTTTAAAGTGTTTACCACACAGTAGTGACCTAAATTTATGACTTATAGTGACCAAAACCTCTCAAAGAAGCAGTTACTGTGTTAACATGTGCTGGGTTCAGTGTTGAGAGCTAGTTTTAGTTTAGGCTTTAATAGAACTGTTCAGTTTAATTTGCTGGATTGTGGTCCAGTTTGTTCTTACCCAGCTGCATTTGTAACGAAATGTCTTTCTACAATGAAATGTGCTATTTGAGTGTACTTTATGTGCAGCTTTGTTTGCTGGTCTCGGTGCTCATTTGTGTGTAATACCCGTCATTTGGCATTTCTTTGTTGTGCCTTTCAAACATTTATTATTATTATTATCTGTTTTTTTCTCAGGACTCTTCCAGCCACACTGGGGAAATTATTTTCGGAGTAAGCAGCTCTCATCAGTCAGCGCCATGAATTTAAATGACTTTGTGGTCGTTCCCAACAAGCCCAAGTCGGTGAAGTTAAATGTCAGGTTGGTCTGCTCCTCTGGTTCAGTGTGTACATCATTATTAGAGCTTGTAAACGATGGAGTCTGATGTGTTAATCACACTCGTGTTAATCTCTGTAGAACAGTAGCTGCTCTAAGCAGCAGATTAGTGTTCTGTTGTTTGTACAATGGGAAGCTTCTCACTTGGTGGCTCCCTGATAACTTCCTCACAATTACCGACTCTCTTAAAAACAAAGGTTCTCGAATGGTTCTTTATGGAGCCCTGCTGGTGACATCCTGTGCAAACAAAATTAATGCATGGCCACGACTTAGTAAGGCAGGGGAATGAGATGATTAAGTCATGGCCACGACTTAGTAAGGCATAGGAACGAGATCACGGCTTACTAAGTCGTGGCCACGCATTACTTTTATTTACACAGAATGTCACCAGCAGGGCTCCATAGTTCTTGGCTTGGATATACAGTCATCAGAAAAACCTTTTCATTTGTATGGAATACTATGGAAGCCCGGAAAGGCCATGAGCTGTTTTCTTGAGATAACAAGTTAATTATTTTGTGATTTCAAGACAACAAAGATGTTGTGTCCAACATAATGGACTCATTATCTCAAGAAAGCAACTTTGTTATCTTGAGATCACAAGATTATTAACTCGTTATCTCAAAAAGACAACTTTGTTATCTTGAGATCACAGGATAATTAACTTGTTATCTCAAGAAGACAACTTTGTTTTCTTGAAATCAGAAGACAATTAACTCGTTATCTTAAGAGGACAACTTTGTTATCTTGAGACCACAAGATTATTAACTCGTTATCTCAAGAAAATAACTTTGTTATCTTGGGATCACAAGTTTATTAACTCGTTATCTCAAGAAAATAACTTTGTTATCTTGGGATCAAAAGTTTATTAACTTGTTATCTCAAGTAAACAACTTTGTTATCTTGAGATAACAAGATAATTAACTCGTTATCTCAAGATAACAATCCAGAAAATATCTCCCTGGACTTCGGGAGAACGCTATGTGGAGGTTCTTTAAACTTTAAAAAGGGTTCTTCACATTTGCATGTTTCAAATAACTAAGGTTTTGGTCTGTCACGATGAAATTTTAGCTGACACAAAAGTTCCACATAATAATTGCATTTAACAATTTAATTGACTTTTATTGTTCACTGTGTGCAGGTACAATAAACAAACAATACTCGCCACCGCCCTCTAAATGTGTTATTAACAAACATAAAATAAACAAACATTACTTGCCACCGCCCTCTAAATGTGTTATTAACAACCATGAAATAAAGTGAAAGACAACACTATTCATATATTTAATGTTTATAGGTCAAACTACCCCATTGGTTTTTGTTTTGAGAGCACACCTTGTTTATAAAATGTTTTTTAGAAGAGCCATCAATTTAAAAGGTTCTTTGGGGAACCAAAACAACAAACTCTATCTCTTCTATCATTAAATACCCTTCACATGTCCTCAACTCTGCCTTTGAGTTGTTGCCCCAGGCCACCGTTATCGCTGCCTTGGATGTCAGTCTGTCTGACGGAGAGTGTCATTTGTGCCTGAGGCCATCAGGTTGATCCGTGATCATTCATGGTGAGCTGTGTCCTTACTGTGTATTTTATTTATTCATCTTATCTACAACCCCATTTCCAAAAAAAGTTGGGATGCTGTGCAAAATGTAAATAAAAACAAAATGCAATGATGTCCAAGTCATTTAAACTCTATATTCATTGAATGTAGTACAAAGACAACATATCCAATGTTGAAGCTGAGAAAAAGTATTGCTTTTGAAAAATATTTGTCCATTTAGAATTTGATGCCAACAACATGTTCCAAAAAAAATTGGAACGGGGCAACAGAAGGCTGGTAAAGTGTGTAATGCTAAAAAAACCTGCTGGTTAATTGGCAACAGGTCAGTAACATGATAGGGGTATAAAAAAAGCAGTCTTTCAGAAGTACAGATGAGGAGGGGTTCACCACTCTGTGAAAGAATCTGGAGAAATCTCTGTATGTAAGGGACAAGACCATAAACCAGTATTTACTGGCCGTGATCTTTGGGCCTTCAGGCAGCACCTGCATTAAAAACAGACATGATTTTGTAGTGGAAATCAATGCATGAGCTCAGAAACACTTCTGAAAACCACTGTCTGTGAAAACAGTTTGTCGCTGCATCCACAAATGCAAGTTAAAACTCTAAAACGCAAAGAAGAAACAAAATATAAACAGGATCCAGAAACACTACCACCTTCTCTGGGCCTGAGCTCATTTAAAATGAACTGAGGGGAAGTGGAAAAGTGTTTTGGCAACATATGCTGCCATCCAGACAACGTCTTTTTCAGGGAAGGCCTTGATTATTTCAGCCAGACAATGTCAAACCACATTCTGCATGTATTACAACAGCATTGCTTTGTAATAAAAGAGTCCGTGAGCTAAACTGACCTGTCTGCAGTCCAGACCTCTCATCACTGAAAACACTTGGTGCATTATTAAATGAAAAACATGACAAAGGAGACCCTGAACTGATGAGCAACTGAAATCCTGTAATAAACAAGAATGAGAAAACAATTCACTTTGAAGACTACAGCAGTGTCTCCTCAGTTCCCAAACGCTTACAGAGTGTTGTTAAAGAAGAGGTGATGAAACTCAGTGGTAAACAGGCCCCCCTCCCAACTTTTTTGGAACGTGTTGTCGGCATCAAATTCAAAATGGGCATATATTTTTCAAAAAACAATAAAATTTCTCAGTTTCAACATTTGATATGTTGTCTTTGTCTTTTCTTTTAAAAATATGGTTCACATTATTTGCACATCATTGCAAAGTTTATTCAATTCAATTCCATTCCATTCAGTTCAATTCAATTCAGTTCAATTCGAGAAGCGGTTCTTTCCGGAACCTTTCAGCACCTTTATCTTTAAGAGAGTTGAAATTGACGTGTAAACCTTGTAAACATGAGTGTTTTAAGTAGCAGGTGTTGAGTCTGTTGCGGTGTTGCAGGAACCTGCGGGAGCTGCGAATGGAGACGGTTCAGCTGGACCAGGAGAACATTGACATGGAGAACAGACTGAAGGAGCTCAGAGAGATCATGAGCCGCGAGAAAGAGGAGAGAGAGTGAGTGAAACATGGAGGCGTGGAAAATGAGTGAATAAAGGATCTGTTTAAATATTTAGATTTACAGTCTTCATCTAATTATTCACAACTAGGATGACTTTTTAACATAAAAACACTTGATGGACCAGTTGAGTTTTGATCGTGGCTGTAGCTTCATCCTCTATACTCAATGGCCACTTTATCAGAAACCCCTTCCTTGTAGCTCCGTCTTGCTGCTGTACACTTAGGGCATTTTTTTACTGCATGTTCAAAAACAAGAACTGTGCCAAATGGGAACCAGTGGTTTGCATCTACTTGAGAGACAGCTGGAATTGCCATAATAGCCACAGTTAACAGTTAGTTTTTTTGGTCAGTTTGGCAATTTAGCTACCTTGCTTGCTAATTAGCTTAACTTACTGGCAGAAATGAAATACAAACATTCATAAAATTGTCTACATTTACACAGAATCATGTGTCGTGTCAAACAAAGCTCCACTTTTGTTCCTTAGGGCGTAAACTGACACATGAGCTGCCTTGTTTACTAGTTATCTTAGCTCAAAACTAGTTGTGCTGACTTGAAATAGTATCGTGTGCTTTTCTGTGCTCACACTCTCACACAGATGTCTACAATTACTCCGAATCACCTTAATATTCATCCATATGTATTCATCTATATGTATTTCCTCTTTGAAATATACAGGAAACAGCACTATGTTCTCAGGGTTCTATATTCATGTTTCATGTGTATCCATGTTTCAGGCCCAAGTTGCCTCGGTCATAATTCTTCAGGTTATTTAGCGGAGAAATTCATTCTGACTTTTCATTTAGTCAATAACTTAGTATTTCAAAACTGTGACATTTGATTTGGCACTTTCAAACTGGCTGAGTGAGGTAAACTATTTCATCTGTTATAGATTTCTGTTGATATAAGTTTGTAACTTACTGTTAACTTACTAACTTAGTTAGTAAGGAGTTAGCTAGCTAAAGAAGGGCAGTGCACCACACTTAAACCTAACAAAGCATTTATTCACAAACTTTATGTATTATACACCGATCAGGCATAACATTATGACCACCTCCCTGTTTTTACGCTCATTGTCCATTTTATCAGCTCCACTTACTGTATAGGTGCACTTTGTAGTTCTACAGTTACAGACTGTAGTCCATCTGTTTCTCTGCAGACTTTGTTAGCCCCCTTTTACCCTGTTCTTCAGTGGTCAGGACCCCCATGGACCCTCACAGAGCAGGTACTATTTGGGTGGTGGATCATTCTCAGCACTGCAGTAACACTGACGTGGTGGTGGTGGTGTGTTAGTGTGTGTTGTGCTGGTGCGAGTGGATCAGACACAGCAGTGCTGCTGGAGTTTTTAAACACCTCAGTGTCACTGCTGGACTGAGAATAGTCCACCAACCAAAAATATCTTGCCAACAGCGTCCTGTGACCACTGATGAAGGACTAGAGGATGACCAACACAAACTGTGCAGCAGCAGATGAGCTATCGTCTCTGACTTTACATCTACAAGGTTTACTGACAAGGTAGGAGTGTCTAATAGAGTGGACAGTGAGTGGTCACAGTGTTTAAAAACTCCAGCAGCACTGCTGTGTCTGATCCACTCGTACCAGCACAACACACACTAACACACCACCGCCACGTCAGTGTTACTGCAGTGCTGAGAGTGATCCACCATGAATGACGATGCATGACTGGTGTTGGAGCGACAGCCGTGTTCTGTGGTGCGTGTAGGTGAAAGCCAGTTAGCTGTCGCTGAGCCACTGTCATGCATAGTTTTTCTACTGTATTTCCTGGTTCTGATTTAGCAGCACAGCAGATGGAAAAAGAAACTAACCATTCTTACGTTAGCCTCATAGCTTTGTGCAAAGCTAAAAAAGTAAACTTAAGACACAGAGCAAGCAACATTTAGGGTAAGCTGTGTAAATTAGATCTCTGGCTAAACATATCACTTTAAGTGGCGCTTCGCCAAAATAAGGAAGGAAATTCGTTTTCTATAAAAAACAAATATATCAGGAGTCATTAATTTGATGATTTCTTCCTCAGCGTATCCAGCTTTCTCCAAATTTTCATTAATAACATTAATATTTGACCCGTGGAGCTTTGCGGTTTGGAATTACGGCGCCGGCCGTTTTAGGGGCTTATATCTGAATATATGAGCTCATAACTCATACAGCAGCAGCGGCAGGGACCGGAGAAGTGTGTGCATACATCACACTCTCAGCCGCACACAAACACGCATACAAACTCCATCATAATGAAGCGCTGCTGAAACGCTGGGGGAGGGTGTGGATGAACTCGCGTCTGTGGCATACGTGTGCTCTGAAATTCATACATCACTGTGGTGGAAAGCTAACATACGATAATGAAATGAAGATGTTTCTGGGAGTTGTTCTTCTTGCAGGTTACACATCGTCAATTAAAGCCTCATATATCAGCATGGCATGCTGGCCTTTCTGCAGAGATCTGATGAATGCAGCAGCGCTGCAGCGTCTGCGCTATCAACAGTAGCCGCCTCATTCCTCCTCCATATAGGATCTGTCATATTAACCAATGTAGGTGGCTCTATATCTAAATTACATTTGCTTTCATGGAGGCGTTCGTGAGCGTAAGTGCACTTACCAGTCTGGCGGCACTTATCTGAACCAAGGCTGCACAATATATCATTTATTCATGGTTATTGCAATATTGGCTTTTGCAGTGTTGATATTGCAGAAGGCCAAATTTATAAATGTTAGCTCCAGCAATTCACTGCATTTTTTATTTTGTGCTGTGAGCATCACTGCCACAGATGAGTTTCTATGGATGTGTTGATGAAGGCATTCGCAGATAATATAAGGCCAAGGCTAATGCAGGCAAAGTGTTTACCATCTTAGCTTACATATTGTTGGTTATCCATTCATCTTGTTTGTCTTTGCCTCCTTTGAATGATTCTGTTCCCAGAGTAGTTGGTGAGCATGCAAGTCCATGTTGGCCATACTAAAATGGATCAGCATGTGGAATAGGAGCTTTCAGTGAGCTATTGTGTTTCCTATCACTGTATAAAAGAAGCTAACTCGCCTTCGGCTTGTGCCTATGACCAAATCACTTGAGAGTCTGACCAAATCAGACTGAGCCATAAAACTGCCGCAATATCAAGTTCAGCTCAGTTTTGTCAGTTTTTGCCAGATCAGTATTAATGTTGTTTTGTTCCAGCCAGTCTGTAAAGCATCTTACAGCCCATTTAGTTTGGCGAATGGTGTTGGGTTCATTTCTGGCTGATTCCAGGTTGTTTAGCTGGTCTTCTGTTTTAGCTGCCGACTGAAAAGCTGCTCAGTGGTGATGACAGTTTGGGAATTTAGTCTCGTGTCATCTTCAGAGTCTGACCAAATCGGCTGTCGGTCAAATGTGATCTTAAAAGTGTCCATTTTCTGTTTGTGGCAAAGTAAGAAGTAAAAACGTTCAAATGTCTTGACCGTCTCCTACAGCTGTCAGAGTCGTTGCTTAGCAACGGCGTCTCAGCGGAGTGATACAGTGTTTGTCAAAAACCCGTGATGTTATGGCGAAATAACAGCACGGTTAGAACGCCTCTCAACCAATCAGCTTGTGTGGCCGGAACTAACTGTTGTATAAAATACAATATCTCATCTCTGTGGAAACGGTTTACATGTTCTACACTCTTAACTTCTCAAAAACAGTTTGTATTTCAAAGTTTGGAAAAACAGCTATTGAAAAACTGACTCCTCATTGTTCCCTTTGTGACCTTTGGTGGCCCCAAGACCTTCAGCATGACCTGAGGAACCCTCTTATAGGTCTCCTTAATTTGTCATGTTGAGGTACGACGTACCATATAAAGTGTTGAAGGATCATAGGACCTTGGAACTATATGAACTATATGAATTGTCCAACTATAATTCTAAAAATAGCAATTGACACAGCATACTATTCTGGAGACTTTATTTTCGCCTGGAAAAGTTATTTGGTAAATTGTTATTGATAGTGTTTGCAGCTGTAGTGTGCCAGCTAACCAAATGCTAGCTTAGTTAGGCTAAAAGTGCTACACACCAAAGTACAGGCTCGGTTCTAGCTAACTGCTGTTCAGTTACACTTTTAGACGATAAAGACTGAGAGTGCAAAGTTGAGCAACCATTGTTGGGAATGACTGAAAGCCAAAACTGAACCTGCTCTGTGGTGTTTGGGACTGTAGCCCGCTAGCTTAGCTAATGCTAGCCTAATTGGCAGGGTACAAGTGCCACATATTGTTGGTTATCCATTCATCTTGTTTGTCTTTGCGTCCTTTAGATTAAAATCTACTCCCTGGTACTTTCGTTGACTAGCAACCGTGAACTGGTGAGCAAGGACACTTTCACTCACTGTATTTTGGAGTCACTTCATGTTTAGATTTTTGTCATAAAATAATGAACATATCAAAATATAGCAGTGTTTGATGCTGTAACCTTCACCTCACAACTAGCTTTTCAGATTTCTACCACAATGGTAATGCTAATTACCTCCAGGGCATCCTGTTTTGTGTTAGCAACAAGCTAATGGTGCCACACTTTAGTTTTCTTCCACTGTGTTTAATACAACTAATGTCAGATGTAAACCACAGACATGTGAAGCTTGCGAGGCATTCAAGTAACATATTCTTTACCTTTTCTGTAGTTTTTTTACAGCGAATGCTTCATTAAATACTTCAATTCAAAGGCTGATGCTGAATATTTCCACCTGATCCCTTAGTTGAACTGTTCATGCAAGAGGAGCCTGCTAGCCTGTTAGCTGTCTGCTGAGCTATAAGCCTAGTTCTAGCTGTTTTTAAGAGTATGTTTAGTACTGTTTTAAGCCATTTACGTCATATACACTGTGATGTCTCGTCCCAATCTGGTCAAAACACTCAGGCCAGGCCAGAAATGTAAAAGCGCATTTATACAGAATTCAGTTGCTGTGAAGCTCACAAGTGTACTGAGTATTTTGCAACATAACATTTTTTTTAGTTAACCTTAGCTACCAGAAAATATGGAGAGAGACAGA